GAAGTTTTTCTAGCACCAGTATTGCATTGAGTGCATGTTTTCATTTGATAATTCTGCTTATTGATTTCGAATTAATTCGGAAGGGGAACGAATGTTTGCTTAATCATGATAGTGCAGATGAGAATCATACCGACAGCAGTGCGTTAGATTTTCAAGACTTTTCAGTGTGTGCCCAGTGAGAATCACAAAATCTGAGGCTTGAAAAGATGGTAGTGGATTGCTGCACTTTTTCATATTTTCTCATCAATTACCATTCAATGACTTTGTAATCAATAAATTGGCCGCTCGTTGGAAGTGAAAGTTGAAGTGGTACTACGTTAACCCTTCGACGACAATGCGGATTTGCACGTAGCTTGCTCATGGGACCACGCCTCTTTTTGGCGCGCCCAACTCTCGCTCACAATTGGGCAAAATTGTCCCTCAAAGCAGTTTTTCTATAGAATTTTTGACTTTAACAGTATACCAGATATAACTGCAGTTCTAGGCTTTCATACTGTATATTGTTTTCAAGAGAATTCCAAATTTGGAAGGGAACTCGGGTTTCAAAGGGAAGGAGGGCAAAACCTAAAAGTTTAAGTGTCCAAGAGAATTTTCGATACACTTCAAACCCCTTCCCATATCTGAGGGCTATGAGAAGACGAAGAAGTCCTGATTAGTAATTAATCTTCAGCCTAATAATGCAAAACCCAATTAATATGCTGGCGGGCTAAGTGGCCATTTCTGAAATTCTATATAAATTAGCTCGTTCTTCCAACACGTTCTTTTCCCTCTCCATCGATCTAGTTTACAGTAGACACTTTTTCAAACAAACGTATTATTACGTCACAGATTGAGATATGAGCTCTGTAACCACGGTGAAATGCTCACCAGGCTTTCATTTGGATTCATCAAGGCTCGCTCTTGCATCGAACAGGTGTTATACTATACAATTATCAGTTCGTTTTCTCTCTATCTGTAGCCGTTAGCCATTCTGTGATGATGATCAATGATTCTGCAGAGTAACCCGTAACTATTTTAGCTCTAACCATAAGAGAGTGCGCGGTGTAGAGAAATCTGCGAACAGGGAGGAACGATTTAGGGATTTGGAATCTCAAGCACCAAGCAGACCACTGAGCAAACTTTTTTACTGTATTTCGTGAAAGGCGCGACAAAAATCGCTGATGAAGTGCGCCACTGTACCTCCCGATATGTTGTATACATTGAACATTAATGAGAACCTTTTGTCGCATACAAGTTTTGCGTATTTAAAGCTCAAAATCCACGGATTTGATGTGAGGCGGCGGCGCCCGCAAAATCGCGTGGTCCCACGCGGCAAAAACAAAACGCGCGTTGTCGTTGACGTCTCAAATTATATATTCATGGAAAAGAAAGAAAACGAAGAGTAAACTGAAGCAAAAGTTTTGTGGGGTTGAGAAAATCCCTTTTTAAACGAAGCATATCTGTGCTTTCCTTGGACCTTATCGTTTGAAGATGTCCATTACTCCTGGTTACACTGATATCACAGATATTCACTCACCTTATGGTGTGATCATGTGATTACCAACTGGCAGGTCATATAAGCTGCCACCGTCTCACGAGCACTTTCTTGGCAGCCCACATTCTTGCGTGTCGGAGTTCACAAAAAGCATCTTCGTCCGTAAGGTCCCATTAGTCGGCCATCTAGATCACTTCTAACGTCCTCACGCCGCATTGTCGCGCACTTTCAAGCCGGGACAGTGGCACATCTGTGACACTCGTGGGCTACTCTTTCCCACCTACAGAATAAAGAAAAAAGAATAAATTCCTCTTCGACACGACCTCATCTGGAGTTGTTGTTGAGTCACGGCAAAACGAGATCTTGATGAGTTACGCTGTCAATAAAATTCTTGTCACTAATGCGAGAGCATCATAAACCTGTTCTCAGCCGACTTCAAGAGGCGATCCTAGCGTGTGCGTCATTTTCCTAGCGTGTGCTCATTTCCTAGATACTGAGTCTTCTCTAAATTGTTTCCAGTACTGGAAAATATGATACAATTCGTCATTGCTATTCTGATTCTATTCATCTTCTACCAATTCTACTGGAAAAGGAGGAATTTCCCGCCAGGTATGTGAGATTTGGAATGTGCTTCTTTTGCACGGAAAACCGAAGAACTGAAACTGTCACCATGCGCCACTCACTACAAGAGCCGAGAACAATATCAGAACGGTCCATGTCCGGTCTTCTTGAAACCTGGGCATTCCAATTGTGTCTTGCTTCTGTTTTGCCTTCCAGGTTTTTGTTTTTTTTTCCTTTTATACCGACGATTGCTCGACACGTCGAACCCTTACGTATGTCCACATAACAAGCCTGGAGCAAACAGAAGCAATAGTCAGAACTTTTTGCTACAGTAACATGGCAACGGTATGGCAAACGGTTTCCAAGTGCCAACAAAGGAAATTCGCGACGCAGCAGACTCGCATTTTAGATAAATTTGATTTCTTGATTATCATAGGTAAAATCAATTGGAGGCTCAAGAAGTTGTCGTTACGTCTCAACTCTATCTCAAACTAGCTAATGAACCAACGCAACCAAATGAGCTAAAATGAGGACGTTGTGAAGCTTATGAGAATGGAGTTGTGCAACTCGGTGGCTTCCGATTCTACAACCCTTGAATATTTAGTAAGGAGTGATCTTAAACAACTGATTCCCTGAATAGATCCAGTAATTCCTTGAAGGCATGCCCCCAGAACATCAGTGTAGCTCTTGCACACGAAATGCAATGCATTGGTGCGCACATTGATTGACTGAAGAAAAAAAAGAAAGAATCCGTCGAAAGCCGGCGGTTGCCGAGCTTACTCACCTCCTACATCGTCTGGCTAAGGAAGAGGAGGCTAAGCCCGGAGAGAGAGCCTAGGTGAAGAGCGCCACAAATAGAGAGCACAAGCCAACAGTCGAATCAGAGAAAAAATTTTAACCCATAACGGACGGCGTGCGCCACAAGGTGGCGCACGACTATTTCTTTTGTTTTTGGAATGTTTCTAGCAATCTTAATATACCCATATATACTCTCAGCAATGTGGAATAACATATCTTCCCAGGACCTGGACGGCTGGATTTTTGACAAACCTACAATAAATTTTACATACATTTTGTCTTAATTTACATAAGTTTACTATTTGATGGGTGGCTTACCCATGGTTCGCACGTCCCGAGACCCCTTCCCCTAAATATAGCCACATCCTTGCTCGGGGTTGTTGTTTCGCATTTTTCGATAATGTCACCTACAGCTTCCATTCATTCTTTGCACCCTAGTTTTAGAGCGGAAAGGCGGGCTACGAACTTGTCGTCAACGGAAATCTCTTTTTTCGGATGATGAGACTCCGACACCTACTTTAGCCCCGTCTTACCCCTGCTGTTCACATAAGCCTACATAAACCCTACCCTGGGTGGCGGCGTGCGCCACATGGTGGCGCACGCAATAAATACACTGGCCGTCCGTTATGGTTAAAGGACGAATTTACGATGGAAAAGCAACCCATTCCAAATTGAGGTAGAGATGGTGAGTAGTACCAGAAAGAAAGCGAAACCACGAAAAACGGCCCAGAACCGGAGAAATGGGACCCCTTCCTTGTCCGTTGATTGAGCATTGATGGGACTCTCATCGCTTGCCCTCTTCAACCCTACGCTCTCTCAGCTATCTAATCACTCGCCACCTATTGTACTACGGCGAGTGATCAGACGATCGGTGGGCGGAGATCGCCGAACTCGCCAACTTTGAGCCATGCTAGATCTCAGAGGTCAAATCTTTCGATGCCGATTGCGTGTCTGTCCGCACCCTCAAGAGATTCACCGCTCTCCCCACTAGGCGATTTCTCCCTTCTTCGACCTTCGTTCTTTCCGTGCAATCCTCCTTTAAAGCAGCTTAAAAGCCCTAGTGCTCTTGTCGGTTAGTTTCCCTGTACGGGAACGCCACATTTGTGATTCGCCCTCCTCTACACTACAGACCGAAGGGAAGCGTTCCCAAGACTTCCGCCTGGGTTGTGCCTTTATTCGAATTAGCCAATTTTAGTCTAAGGAGTGTGAAGGTGACCTAGAGTTCTACGATTTCAGCGTAAACGATCCGACAATTCATTGCAAGTAGAATTTCATTATTTCGTCAAGTAATTTTTTGCTTTATGAGGAAACATTGTCCTATAGGAATGAGGCGCTGCTGTCAGTCACGCGGTCCTACGGACCAACATCTCAGGAAAAAATGAGGAGTTGGAAAGTAAGACATGGCCGGCCACATTCCAACGCGGAAGTATGTATAAGTATCAGAACTAACCTATAGTGCTGAAGTCTGAAGCGTTGTGGAAGACGGCCCCTGGAGAATGATTGGTCATTTCGAGCACAAGGTCCTCATACGTCGGCATGCCGTACTTCGGTCCATATCTCTAATCCAAAGCAATAAGGAAAACGATTTTATAAAGTTTTAAAGAAGAAAGTTGTAAAGTTACAAAGTAGACATATGAAGTTTTCTGTTAAGATATTTGCCCTTGCGAAGATTCAGTAGAACGGAATCAAATTCCTTCCCCGTAGTTTCTCCCTTTTCATTATTTTCTTTCATTATCATGGAGATGTAGCATTATATGAATTGAAAGGGTATTCCAGCCATTTTGTCAAAATGGTGGGCAGGGACAAATGAGTTTCCTGTTCGGTTCAGGCTTAAAAAGTTATAAATTATGAATAAATTAACTCAGGTCCAACACCTCTCCCTCTGCTCGGCAATCTCCATACAATCTTCGCCCACGAGCCCGGATATGGTGCGTTTGAGATGTGGCGGAAGAAATATGGTCCAGTCTACACCTACTGGATCGGTAAAAGAAATTTTTGGTTTTCCCAGTTGCTATCACTGCTTTTCGAAAATGGTCTCGCTTAGGCAATATCCCATTCGTGATGGTGAGCGATTACAAGACACTGAAGGAGACATTTGTCAAGGATGGTGACGCATACATTGGAAAATTTCATTTCGAAGAAACTACCAAAGAATATCGAGGCAAGAGCGACTTCGTAAGCTTGTTGCAAACGCTTTTACATTTATACATGAATTCCTTCCGTTATTTGGAGCACTATTTGGTACCTATTTTTTCTCCACATGTCCAACTCTTTCCGAAATTTTTCGCTACCTAAAGACAATAAAGGATTAAGGATGAAGCTTTATTGCCGTTAATCATACCCGTCCTGTACACGCATTCTACTTCCATTTGTACATTCGTAGTGGCGTTTGAATGCGATGTGGCCTATACAATGACTTGCGGGGGCCAGCCGATGTTCAAGTCAGTGTTTTTATCCTCCCAGACAAGTCTGGTACCAATTAACCGACCCCGGAGGGATGGAAGGCTTGGTTGGCCCGGGCGACTCACGACCCAGGATTTGATCCCGGACCGCTCGCGTGGTGAGCGTGCCACTTGCCACTACACCACTTCCGCCCTACCTATAGACAATACATTATCATAATTGTAAGGGATTAGATATGTTTCGCTTGGGCAACAGTTTCCTGACCTTCACTAAATTTTCGGTTAGTTCAGTCTTTGCCCTACCAGGTGGTACCTTTTTCGCTACGTTTCAGCGGAGCGGACGTTACTGAACGAGTAGATAAGCGGCAACTTGTACAGACATGCGCCTAATGTCCGCATGCATGAAGCCGCAGTGTATTTACACGTGAGACGCAAAGAACACGATGGGTCTGGGCACTGGTCAGCGTGTGCGACATCGTTGCGACACGTGCCGAGGTTTGGCATAATTCTCGGCGCCAGCGACCTCTCACTTCTAGGCCTAAACTGAATGTCTCTGCAACGTGGGTGGAAGCGAAACATACTGTCCCGAAGGGCAGATGAGCCTCCTCCAGATGCAGACGATATGGAACCTTAAGACGTCGGTAAAAATTTTTGCAAAAATACCACACTATGTGCGAACAACCTCATAATTGTGTGTGCACCAATTATAAATACCAGTTGGCGCCGCACGCATTGCGCGCGCAACACAGATCTGCTGCGAACTTTGATGGTGCGACAAAAATTTTCATATTTGGCTTGATACACTACGAATATCTGAATCCTCAGCTAAATTCAATCCGCTCCATCATCGACGGCTTTCAACCTTTTTTTCTTCGTCAACCATTATCCTCTTTTTCTCGGTCTCCGGACTGCTTCCGGACAATAAATCTCGTGGCAAACTCCGCCTACTTCGGTGCGTGCCCGCCCACCAATAGCATTTGGCCCCCTTCCTTTCGCCGACCTCTACCCCTTTTTCACCGGTCTCTGGGACCTCTTGGAACCAAATTACGACACTTTTGGCAAACTCCGCCCACTTAGGTGCGTGCTCCGCCCACTAATAGCAGTTGACCTCCTTTCCTTTGCCGGCCTCTACTCCCTTTTCCCGGCCTCCGGGACTTGTTGGAGCCGAGTTATGAATTTTCGTCGCAAACTCCGCCCACTTTGGTCAAGCCCCGCCCACCGATGACAGCTGGCCTCCACTCCTCCACCCACCTCTATCCACCTTTTCCCCAGCCTCCGGACTTCTTGGAGCCGAGTTATGAATTTCGTCGCAAACTCCGCCCACTTTGGTCAAGCCCCGCCCACCGATGACAGCTGGCCTCCACTCCTCCACCCACCTCCATCCACCTTTTTCCCGGCCTCCGGGACTTCTTGGAGCCGAGTTATGAATTTTCGTCGCAAACTCCGCCCACTTTGGTCAAGCCCCGCCCACCGATGACAGCTGGCCTCCACTCCTCCATACACCTCTATCCACCTTTTTCCGGCTCTTTAAGACTTCCCCGACCCGAATTATGAGGGCTTGTAGAAAATGCTGTACACTTCAGAGCGCGCCCCGCCCATTCTGGGCGGGCCTCCGCCCACGTCATGTATGCAGGAAACACCTTAGACATTGCTCCCTTACACCAAATTGTTTTCTGCTCTGTAGGCTTTCTCCCAACCGAGTTATGAAATTTTTCATAAAGCACTGCTTTTTTGGAGAACGCCCCGCCCACCGGGGGTGGGTCTCCCTAATTCGATGTGACTTACCAATGCACACCTTTACCCACTTTTTGGCCCAGTTTCGAGGTCGTTTTGTCACTGAAATCGAAATCTTGGTCTTCGGTACAATTCATTTCGACGCACGCCACGCCCTCTGTGGGCGGGGCTCCGCTTAGCTGATGTGTGTTTTGTATTACGTGAGACCTTGCCCACCCATCCCACACTTGACCCGGTCCCTCCAGGCGGATCCCGAGGAGCTAGGGAATTTCGTGACAGACATACAGAACGACACACGACAGACGACAGACGAAGCGCTTTATACACCCCGGTGCACAATAGATTGCACCCTATAAAAAACTTAGTTTTTGAGAGAGGCCGAAACTTTTATTGATTCTGCTGTTGATATATTTCCTGGGGAAGTAGATAAATAATGTTGACACAATATTCAGTTAGACACACTGTCTTTGAAAAATTTTAGAGTGAAATATTGATTTTTTTGGCGGTGCACAATAGATTGGACGATTTGAGATATTCCATTTTTCCGACTTTTTTTGCCTGCTTTTTAAGTTTGCATGTACTCACGTATTATGTGAAGTATACGCGTTTCACAAACGAAGACTGGATTCGAAGTGAAGCGTAACTTCTTCTTGACAAGGGTGATCTCCAAATCTCTAAGGAACCCTTCATTCCCAGGAGTACAGTTGCAACTGTGATCAAGAATCATTCTCAAACTGTTCTTAAGAACAAGGTGGTACAGAAGTCAGTTGTTCCTGAGCGCGGCAGGCGCTGCTTGATTAATTTGGCATTGAGTTCCACAAAGGTTGCCTATGAATCGGTTGTCGCTTGCGGGATTGTCGTTTTGAAATGGACCGTGTCTCGTATGTTGAAAATATCGGACCACATAGTTCGACAAAAATAAAGCCGACACTACGCCTGACTCAATATCATCGACATGAGCGGCTCCCTCTTGCGAGGATTGAGAATAACAGAAATTGGGCAGCGGAGTGTTCTGGGCACACTTCCAGCTTTATACTAAATTTAAATTTCTCATTTCTATTTTCCCTACGGTAATTTCTTTCGATGACATTTTGGTCGGCGGAGATGAGTCGTGCTAACGGCACTCGAACTGGCGCTCTTGCAGAAGTGAACCACTACTGGTGCCTCGAAGCACGCCGGTGCCTTCTCCTAAATGGTTTGCTGGGCATCCTCTAGTGATGGTAGCCTTGAGATTCATTTTGATTCTTGTGAATGAGAAGCCATAACTATCAGTCACTTCTCAACAACACGTTGGTACCATTCGTTTCTTGAGACTTCAACAAACACTTCATCTTCGTGCAAAAGAACGCTTCAAACCACACTCCGTGAAGCACTCTGTCCCACTTTCAATCTAACAACAACCCATTATTTTCATCGCCGGTATGTAATTCTGATACAAACCCTATCGGGAATACATAGGGTATACTGACGCGTAAGATGGGAAAGCGTATGACAATGTTCAGCCGCTAAGAAATACCATTACAAAGGAGTGGAAAACTCTACCGCCTCTGCTGCATAGAATGCGCTGATTCAAAATCTGATTTCAGTCCCAAGCTCACTGAGAAGAAGGAACGCTGCCTCATACTTAGGTGGGAGGAGCAGACTTTAGGTCTTGTTTTATGAACCACAATACATATCGTCCAATCTATTATGCACCGCCTCAAAAAGTGAAAAATTGTTGTCACAAACTTTAAAAAAGTCGTAATGTCAAATAAGTATCACAGATATTATTCCTTCGTCTATTTCTAAACTATAGTATAGGCAGAAGCAACAAAAGTTTCCGGCTCTCAAGAAAATTAGGTTTTCTATGGGGTGCAATCTATTGTGCACCGCGGTGTATAATTAGGATATCTCTGCGCAAATAAATAATGACCAATATATGAAGTATTTATATCAAAGATGTGAGCAAACCTCCCACTGCATAATTTCAGGAGGCGAATATGGTGTCGTTGAGACCGATGGAGACATGTGGCGCGATCACAGACGATTTGCTTTGCATGTGCTAAGAGACCTTGGCCTCAGCAAGGACGGCATGGAGCAGAGGGTATCTATTTAATTGGGCATGAATTTCTCCCTTCCTAATACAATTACATATTTCGCCATTTGTTGTATCAATGAAATGGTGTGCCAACTAGCACAGACTCCACCTGAATCAATTTTGTCATTTCATTCTTCTGCTGTTGTAGTACTGGTGACGGTTTTCAGGTCCTCGCAGAAGTCGAAGCTATGAGCGAGGAGATAAAATTCCAAGGGAAATAAGAAGTTTGATATGCAGGTAAATTAAAAGTCTTCAAAAATCGATATAAAAAGGAAGAAGCTTCGTCGTTGACCTTCCTCTTCCTTGTAAGCATAGTTCGCGGCACTCCCCTCCTACATGGAAAGCAAGCAGCATCAGAAAGAGAATGGTATCAACACCCGAGGATCCAGTTAATGTGATCATTCTACCGGAAACATGGTCTCCTTTTACCCGCCGTGGTGGAGCCTAACCAGGAAAGGCATTCAACTTCCCATGGAACTTTGAATGAGACCCAGATATATCGATAGAGCTTCAAACGCTGATTACAAATATGGAAACTAAAACTGCAAAATGAACCTGCCAAGGAAGTTGTGAGCAGTCAAAGTTGGCTGGAAGTAAAGCGTTACATATGAACCGTGTACCGTCCGGGCATTCAAAGTCGCCATGGAGTAGTGGTAGTGCTCTCGAAAGTTGCACTCCAACGGAGAATGCACGACCTCCCGGCTGGAGAGCGAGAGCACTACCACTACTCCACTGCGACTCTGAAAGCCCGGAAGCTAGCACGGTTCATATGTAATGCTTTACTTCCAACCAACTTTGACTGCAACTTCCTTGGCAGGTTCATTTTGCAGTTTTAGTTTCCCATATTTGTAAACAGCGTTTGAAGCTCTATCGATATATCTGGATCTCAATTCGAAGTTCCGGGGAGAAAAAAAAGTGCCGGAGCGAGGAAGTATAGTAGATCACCGATTCACAAGATGAGATTCAACCGTGGTGGTTCGTTACGGTGGAGGAGTGGAGCGTACGAGCATAAGTACCAAGACTAGAATTTTATTGACACTTTCAAAGCGCGTAATTGGCACGATCTCTGCAATTGCTTAGCATGTATATCTACCAAGGGTACTCCAGTGAAAATCACAGCGGAATATGTCTTTACACAATTCTGCTGGACGGGAAGAGATTCGATGCAGAAATTACCCACAAACTGTGCATTAGTGTCAGATAAGTTGGTCCACATATCGGGTTCTTTCAAACCCTCAAGCTGTTCGCATACCTCACATGGTCAAAATGGATACGGACTTTTGAAATGAGAATCCTAACATAAACAGGCTTGAGGTGCAGTCGTGGGCTTGGCTTATACAAGGTGGGCGCAGTTACTGATGCTAAGGAGATACACAATCTAGCGGATAGACCATGAGCTCGAGTCCTAACTTCAAAGTAGTGGTTAAAAGTGAGCGAGGGTGCGCACCGTGGAAGATATGCTCGACTGCGACCGACCAGGCGCAATGAAAAAAGCTATGTCGTTTTCACAGCGAAAAGTGCGCCCGTTTGGAGCGAAATTAGCACCGAACCTGAAAAGCGCCCTACCCAACCCCCACCTCCCACCCACAAGTTGGGTTTGCGGTACCGCTATTAACATCGCGATTTCTATTTTCCAAACCCATTTATCGAATGCCCGTACCTTGTAACCTTGTCGTGTTTGTCTATCGGGGTACCCTTACCCAACAATCACTAGTGACTCGTTCAAAATAACTGTCCATGAG